AATGTTAGTGTATAGACAACAGTTAGTATACTGTTAGTGTATACACAACAGTTAGTATAATGTTAGTGTATAGACAACATTTAGTATACTGTTAGTGTATAGACAACAGTTGGTATAATGTTATTGTATAGACAACAGTTAGTATAATGTTAGTGTATACACAACAGTTAGTATACTGTTAGTGTATAGACAACATTTAGTATACTGTAAGTGTATAGACAACATTTAGTATACTGTTATTGTAAAGACAACAGTTAGTATAATGTTATTGTATAGACAACAGTTAGTATACTGTTAGTGTATCGACAACATTTAGTATACTGTTAGTGTATAGACAACAGTTAGAACACTATTAGTGTATAGACAACATTTAGTATACTGTTAGTGTATAGACAACAGTTAGTATACTGTTAGTGTATAGACAACATTTAGTATAATTTTAGTGTATAGACAACATTTAGTATACTGTTAGTGTATACACAACATTTAGTATACTGTTAGTGTATAGACACCAGTTAGAACACTATTAGTGCATAGACAACATTTAGGATACTGTTAGTGTATAGATAACAGTTAGTATAATGTTAGTGTATAGACAACAGTTAGTATACTGTTATTGTTTAGACAACATTTAGTATACTGTTAGTGTATAGACAACAGTTAGTATAATGTTATTGTATAGACAACAGTTAGTATACTTTTAGTGTATAGACAACAGTTAGTATAATGTTATTGTTTAGACAACACTTAGTATACTGTTAGTGTATAGACAACAGTTAGTATAATGTTATTGTATAGACAACAGTTAGTATAATGTTAGTGTATAGACAACAGTTAGTATACTGTTAGTGTTTACACAACATTTAGTATACTGTTAGTGTATACACAACATTTAATATATTGTTAGTGTATAGACAACAGTTAGTATAATGTTAGTGTATAGACAACAGTTAGTATAATGTTAGTGTATAGACAACAGTTGGTATAATGTTAGTGTATACACAACATTTAGTATAATGCTAGTGTATAGACAACAGTTAGTATACTCTTAGTGTATACACAACATTTAGTATACTGTTAGTGTATACACAACAGTTAGTATAATGTTAGTGTATACACAACATTTAGTATAATGTTAGTGTATAGACAACATTTAGTATAATGTTAGTGTATAAACAACAGTATACTCTAGAGACTAATGTTAGTTTATGAACTTAGATACTAATATTCATTCTTTAGGAAAACTTGGTCATGGAGACACCAGCAAGCAGTACAAGCCAAAACTGATAGAGGCGTTCGCTGGTCTTTACATAAGAAAAGTAGCCTGTGGGAGCCAAGCGTCTATGGCCCTAACCTCTACTGGTCAGGTAAGCAACTGTGAACCGTTTTGTATCTATGGACTAAGGTGATCATATTTGGCCAGTAGCATGCAGAAAGGAAGTGTCGACAAATTGTGGACGTGATTATGAATGACTTTGACCTCACTTCCAAGGTCACAGGGGTCAAATGTGTTAAAATCTTTAAATAGCTTCCTTTGAGTAATCAAAAGACACAGCTGTGACAGCATGATGATATTTGAGCAGTAGCATGATAGAATCAAGGGCTATCAAGTTTGTTCAGATTAATGGCCTATCCTAATCACAGGGGTCAAATTTGCTGAAACTTTTAAATGAATTCTTCTGAACAACCAAAAGGCCTAGGGTGATGATATTTAACCAGTAGCATGCTGGAATGAATGGTTACTAAGTTTGTTTAAAGGAATAACCTTGGCCCACTTTTTAGTTCAAAGGGGTCAAATGAGTTAAAATTTGACAATGACAATAGTCACAGAGTGATGTTATTTGGGATTAAGAGCTACCAAGTTTGTTCAACTGAACAACCTTGTATGACTTTCAAAGGCACTGGGGTAAAATGTGTTTAAATTGTGTAACAGGTGGTTTCGAATAACCAAGAGTCATAGGTCAGGATATTAAGCCTGTGGCTTTGTTTAGGATATTTAAGTTTATTTGACCTCAATGTATAATAGCTAAAAAAAAATAAACAAAATCTTGCTGCTAATTCTCTAGTGCCATGGGTACTTTAATTATTTATATATACATTGACTGTATTGTTTGTACTTCTTTGTCATATGGAAACATTACCTGAACAGGTTTTCACATAATGACGTTAGTAATAGTTTAAAGAAACAATTATCTAAATTGAAATAATTATGTAACATTTTTTCTCTGTCCAGCTGTATGCTTGGGGTTGTGGCTCCTGTCTTGGTTGTGGGTCTGAAGACTTTACTGCACTTAGGCCGCGCCTTGTGGAGGACCTCCAGTCTAAGAGAATTGTGGACATCTCATTTGGAGACAGTCACTGCCTGGCACTCTCACATGGTAAGTGTTCAACTTTCATACAAAAAACAATTGTTTAGAGGATTAAATACATTTAGTAAATTTTCTTTTCAAAAGTTTCTGGTAGTTGAACTGAAATTATTAGTCCAGGACAGGTCTTAAATAAGTTATCACATAATCAAAAATATCTCCAGGCATAATGCTAAAAGGGGGAAAATAACAGATGTCATCTTGAAAATGTCTTGATGAATTGTTGAAGACACAGCAATGTTTGAGTCAAAATTGGCTTACTCTATTTGGATTACATGAGCATCCAAATTAAAAGGACCTCTATTTCAAGAATTTGTTGCTATTTTTTTTTAAAAGATTTACCAACAAATACACTAAATTCCATGTAGGTATTACTTTGTCAGCGAAGTCATCGTCGGCATCAGTTGCGTCAACAGAAACAAGGTTTCCATGCGATAACTTGAATTTCCTTGGGTTGATTGAACTCAAACTTGGTACACATATTGGATACCAATATAGCTCGGACAAGTTTGCATTTCAGAAGTTGNAAGTGTTGTTATTTTTCAGGTCAATCAGAAATCCAATATGGCCACCACAGCCGCTATTTTGTAAATACCTATTCTAAACTTAAAAACAATTTCTAATAGGCCGATCTTATTTAAAATCGGTCTAGGAATGATCAGCTCATGGTCCTGACAAAGTTAAGTTAACATTATACTTAACTATTTTTTACTCAAATTGGTACATATTTCAACAACAAAAATAAATACTGTAGGACTCAGGTGACCGTTAAGGCCCATGGGCCTCTTGTTTGGTGGAGTTATGCCCCTTTTTTCGCCAAATTAGGGCATTGTGTAGTAAATGCAAGAACTTTTAAAATCTTTCCATTTTGATGAAGATACTTGAACTAAATTTGATGTAGACTCCTTGGGGTTGAGGGGCAGGGCCTGTTATTAGAAATAGAGTAAATCTGAAAATACCGTATTATATTTAATGAGAATATTTTGATATGATTGCTTTAATATCCAGATGAGTGGTACAGGCCCTCTGAGGCTCTTGTATTTTAATGTTGTAAAAGGCCTGTCATCATCTGAGAGCTTGTACTGTCTTTTGTTTGTAGACAGTGAGGTGTATGCCTGGGGTAACAATGCCATGGGGCAATGTGGACAGGGTCATGCCCAAAGTCCAATCACACGTCCCAAGAAGGTGCTTGGTCTGGAGGGGGTCAATGTGCACCAAATCTCTGCAGGCACTTCCCACAGTGTGGCATGGAACTCCCTACCAACAGACAGGCAAGTATAGAACTACATTTGTCGTATAGTAGATTAAGGCATTTCATCAAAGGAGCACCCTGTGTATCCCCTATAGGGTGGTGATATTTGGCAAGTTGCATTTCAGGATAAAGGACTATAAAGTTTATTCAACTGTATGTCCTTGTTTAACTTTCAAGGTTACAGGGGTCAAATGGGTTTAAATCTTTCAACAGGTTCTTTTGAATGCCTTTGAGTCAAGACACTGATATTTTGCCTGTAGCTTTATTTTAGTCCACTTTTAAGGTTACAGCCATGAGATTTATACCCGGTGAGCGATGCAGGCCCATTGGGCCTCTTTGGCCTCACGTTTAGTGAAGCTTTTGCACTATAGTCTTTTGCATGTGAGACAATAAGACATTATTTCACTTATTAGTAAATAGAAAATCCAGAAATTAAGGGGCCAAAAGATGCCTTAATCACACCCATTCTTTGCCAGTTAGCTTTAAACAACATATCTAATACTAAACTATTTACCAGATTTTAAATAAGGTTGTACAAATAAAGTAGCTAACACTCTTAGAGGCAATCCTCCCAAACTAGGCGTAGATTTGTATGGTCCTGCCATTTAATGGGGACATATATAGTGTTACTAATGTTGGTCATAAATCTACAGACTTTTATCGTTCTTTTAATCTTAACTTTATACAAAGGTCTTGTAATGAGAATGTCTTGTATGAGTTCATATGTCAGGATCCCAAGGTCAATGCCAAGGTCACTTGTTGCTATTGAGACATCAACAGCAGGACATTTTCTAGCTAATAAACCTCACTTTCCAAACAAATAAGTGAGCAATGCAAGAACATTTTGCCTCTTGTTTTAATTCAAATGCCTTCTTCAAGTGTTCGATAGCAATGCTAGCTAAAATAAAAATTAGCTATATTTCAGTTGAACCTTTTTCAACTAGAAATCCAGAGCTGTGTTAGTTCCCAAATATTGCGTCATGAAAAAAAGCTTTTGAAATTTATAAAAATAATGATGAACATTTATTGTGCTTGTCCACAGACATGTAGTTGCATGGCATAGACCGTTCTGTGTGGATCTACAGGAAGCCACGTTTGCCACGCTGAGATCATTCCTAGAGCACTACTGTGACGGCTTTGATCAGGACAAGCCCCCCAAGCCCTTCACAACAAAACAGTGAGTACCACACCATGGTTGTTTGATTATAGGTATCACTTGTACACTTAACAATTTTTTATTTCCTGCTCAACCAAGTGAATGAGTGATATAGAAATGGGGTCTGTCCTTCCATGCATCAATCTGTGCTGTTGGTAAGGCCAAAAACAAACTTTCCTCTCTATACCCCCTGCAACGAAGATAAGGGGTATATTTGAATCTCCCTGTCTGACCATCTGTCCAGAACGTCTGACAATCTGACCGTCTGTCCAGAACGTCTGATAATCTGACCGTCTGTCCAGAACGTCTGACAATCTGACCGTCTGTCCAGAATGATGTGTTCAGGGAATCATAAAAGGTACTGCAGTGACTTATAATAGGGAACAAAGGGGAGAACAGCCAGCCACCACACCAAGGTCGGTGTTATGTGAAATGCACTGCTACTGGTTTGTACCCATCAATATTTTGAATATCACAAGGATGACCTCTGATTCTGCCGTAGGCCGCGGGAAATAGTTGACCAGGTTGGTCCCAACACCGAGGGAAAACTGTTTTGACTATTGACAGAAAGGGCATGAATGAACTGTTTGGTTACTTACAATTATCTGTACGTACTACATTTTGTATACACATGACAAAATGCAACACAGCACATTTTTGTTTAAAATCAGTGTCATTTATAATGTCTATCTGATGTGTCTTATCAAAGTGTTTCTGAAGGCCATATCCTTTTGTGTTCGAATACCAGTGTAAAACTTGTGTAGTTAGGTGTTAAGTGCATCACTTTTGGACATTTCAAAGTCCATCAATGGAGATTCCTTCGCATCGCAATATGCCGTTAGAATTCTTACCACTGCCTTAATTACATTTTTGGTATTACAAGAATCCCTGTTTTCAACTAATTCCAGTAAACCCTGCTCTGATATTTCTTGAAAACGTTTTCTTTGAGCGACAGCCATCTTCGGAAATGTCTGCAATTAAGCAAACAACGTCAGTGTTCGCAAAGCGCTTTAATTGAGATCAAAAACATGCTTGGGCGCATTCGTTGCTAAGGAAACGTGTGTTAGTGAGAGAGCTTCCCATGAAAATAGTTTTGACTAGGGGGACATTCCCGTATCCGGTTGAAACGGCTGAACCGGTTGAACCTGTAAAGAAAAAGACAGGTACAGATCTGGACCAAGGCTGACCTCAGGAAAATTTGGCACATGTAAATTGAGGGGTCCAGACGTACCTGGACGAAACTAAAATGCTGACTATTGCCAGTTTGCGTTATTTGAATAACTATGTATGTCAGGTTATATTATCATGCATGTGTCATGTCATGGATAACTGTCAGTGAATCTCCACCTGGGAGTGGACAACATATTGTACGTAGACTGACCCCAGGGACCCAAACCTGGCAGTCATCCATATGCATGTAATGTGCTGGGAAATTAAAACTTAAAAAAAAAATTAAAAAAAATAAATATGCACTCACAAAAAATAAAGAAATGTCCTTATAAATCAAGCAAGCCACCGAACCTGAAACACCTTGAATACAAGAGGTGCACCAGACCACCAGCCCTTAATGCTTAGGATTTCACAAAACACTGGGAACCGTGCAGTACTGCAATGTTGGCTAGGAATGACACGCACACCTGTGTACCTGATACCTGTCAACCACTGTGACGTCACACCTGTGTACCTGATACCTGTCAACCACTGTGACGTCACAGAACATGCAACACTTGCTATATCTACTCGGTGTCAAATGAGACAAAGTATTCCCGCTATACTATTGAATGGNTGTCAACCACTGTAACGTCACACCTGTGTACCTGATACCTGTCAACCACTGTAACATCACACCTGTGTACCTGATACCTGTCAACCACTGTGACGTCACACCTGTGTACCCGATACCTGTCAACCACTGTGACGTCACACCTGTGTACCTGATACCTGTCAACCACTGTGACGTCACA